ATGGCAAATAAAAATATTGTAGCAAAAGACTGGTCTAGAATCATGTCTTTATGTGAGACATCATGAATCGTGTACCATTTGCTTTGGGTACAGGATCGATTGCATGTGCTATAATATTTGTCATTTCTAAATTTTTCCAAATGCCCAGAGGCATTAAGAAGGGAAAAGGTCTAGAATTGGATATGACTAAAATGATTAAGCAATTGTCGAGGACAATCTGAGGTATAGTGCTAATTTTGGAAGGACCATATTGACATATTCTGAAAAGAGGCATCTCTTATTCAGAAGTGATAGTCAAAATGAGAATATGGAGTTGTCTCCATAGGTGGAAGTTATCTGTGTAAGATTAGAAAACTTAATGCAAGAAGCATGTCCAAAGCAATGTACTTTGAATATGAGACTTAGTTTCCTTGGAGTTGATCTCCATTGGAATACCTTATAATGACTGTTGACAAGTCTTTGTGACTTTGTACATATTCATTATAGGAGGGTCAGTGCATATAAGTTTAAAATCTAAACAGATTTCGATAAATGATAGGAATTTGAAATTCTCACATTTTTCGATAAGGATTTGGGAGTGTGAAATTAGAATCATTGAAATTATGTTCAATTGGTTTATTTCACAAAGTAAGGATCATAGACAAACATAGAGTGCATACTTGGTGTATGGCAAAGCTATTGTTTAAGAAAAACATAGTGTACATGCTTGGAGCATGGGACAACTAGTGTTTTTAATTCAAGTATAAAGTTGATAAAACCGAAACAATGAATAATGAGTAATCAGTATGGTGATAAATAAAAGTGTTTATTTATATTCATAGGGTTTGATACCATATTTGATTCATTTATTCTTGTGTTTCACTTTGCATGTTTTGACTTCCAGAATAACTAAGGCGCTCTTCCTGAATGATTAAGTTATTCAAACCATCCACAGTCGGTCATATGTTGGAAGTAGATATGAATCAAGACTGTCATGGGTTGGTTTGTAGAGGTCCAAGTTGGTGGACAAAGTGGTGCTACAACACTCATGAGTGCTCATAAGTTCTGAGTATTGGATTCAACCCGCGCTCATTTGAATCACTTCATGGATTTTATCACGAGTGATCATGAGACGATAATATCTTATATTCTTCAAACCTAGAGATATGAGTTGTTACTATGAGTTGGTTATACATTGATTGCACGAAAACGCATTGGTAACTCGATGTTATAAAACGTGCCTTTGTGTATGATTCAACAAGTAGTAGAACAAGCCATATGAGTCGAAGTTTATCCATTCCTTTTACCTTCGGGATAAAAGCGATATCTGTGGGCCCCTCGATGATTTAAAGATGATACATGTGAGTGCTTGGCCAAGCCAGGACTGATTTGATTTGTTCAATAAGTCAGTCATCATGAATCAGAAATCGGGAAACAACAAATGGACAGAGAGAATGATTGATAATCCATGTCTCAGTCCATATGATATCTAGAATGGAGGAATATATGATCCTTTATCTAATGGACAAGTCATTGATAAAGGTCAGAGTTCATCGACAAGGTCAGAGTTCGACAGAAGCTTTTGAGAGCTACGATTGCTGATCGGTTCCTGAAGTCATATGCAATAATAGTTTTAGACTTATCCAAGTGGGAGACTGTTGGATTAATGTCTAAGTCCATAACTATAATTGGTAAGACTTGACCCGACCCGGCATGGTCCATTTGGGTTGCATGGCATCATGCATTTGGATAGACTATAATGAGAGAAATAACACTTAAGGTTGGTTAATATATTATAAGTTCTAATATATTAATAAGGTTATTTAATTAGTATTGATCAAGAATTAATTTGGAATTAATTAAGTGATCAAAAGGAGACTAATTAAATATATGGGTTGATTGTGTAAATCATTCATTCTTATATATGTGGGCTTGTGATCCAAGATTCCTTATGTTGGACTAAGTCCATGGGGTGACCCATGGATACTCCATGGAGGTTAAAATCCATGGAGCATAAGGAATGGGTAAAGTTATGAGTTACATGGTGTAACCCTAATAGCCACCATATAAAAGAATCCCATGGCTCAAGAAATCGTGCACTAATGTGTGAATGTGAGGGCTAGACGATTTCAAGGAGTGTTCAAGTTTCTCTCAAGTTATTCCAAGTGTATTTGGTGTTGTGTGAACCATTTGAGGTGTCACACTTGGGCCACTAGGCACTCAAGCTTCATGAAGACATTCTACATCAAAGAGGTATGTATTCTATCTTGTTATATTTATTATTTTGTATGCTAGATTAGGATAATACCTTGGATGTTCATAATTGTATGTATAATAGAGAAAACATAGATCCAAGGTATTTAGGGTTGCATGTACACTTAGGAGTGTTAGAATGCTCATAACCCAACAAAGAAATGTCTATCTGACGAAACCCTTGTGGTCCCTCTTGACGAAATCGAAATCAACGAAAATCTGAACTTCGTGGAAGAACCAATCGAAATCATGGACCGGGAGGTCAAACGAACAAAACAAAGTCGCATCCCGATAGTGAAGGTTCGATGGAATGCTAAGCGGGGGACCTGAATTCACTTGGGAGCGCGAGGATTCAATGAAACAGAAGTACCCTCATCTTTTTCCAAATCCATGATTTATATCCATATTCTTGAATTTCGGGACGAAATTCCCTCTAACAGGGGGATGATGTGACAACCCGAAACTTTTAATCCTGTACAATTAATCCGTATATCAATATTACACTCGAACTTATCATCTCTTAGCGAAATTTTGGGTCCATATGAGTGCTTTAGGCTTAGTATAACACATATATGAGTCTTAAGAAGGGTTAGAAAGTGTGTAGCATCACAAAATCGAGCCAATCACACCAAGGAAGGTGTGTGCGGCCAGCCAGCCGCACACCCGACCACACACACTCCCCCCCAGCCACACACCCGACCCTATATATAGTAGAGAACCCCCTTTCAGTCACTTTTTCTTCTTTGGCTGCACACTACTCTCTCTCTCTACTTCTCTCTCTAAAAACTTCATCCAAGAACACTCTTAAGGTCTCAAAAACGTGAACTACTTCACCATTCAGCTTGTTATAGTGGTAAGAGACCTAAATCTAAGCCTAAAACTCATAGTGTTCTTCGTGTTCTTCATCCATTGAAGGAGTGCGGCCGCACACCTTCATAAGGTGACCGCACACACTCAAATACCCCTCCAAAGTGAGAGTATGGCCTCTATAATCGAATTAAGACTTAGTTTGGAACTTGAAACACCTCAAAAATCGACATTTCGGGCACAAATGAGGAGTGTACGGCCGCACACTCCTGTGTACGGCCGCACACACCCCCTGTACGGCCGCACACTCCTGTGTGCAGCCGCACACACAAGTCTGGCCGCACACCCACTTTTATGGCCATACACTCACTCTAATGCTCATATTTGGCCTTAAACTTGTAAAGACCACTAAGTATGGAAGATGGGATACTTAGTTCTAGTGATTCCAAGTCTTTAGGGTGGTTTTCCATCATGATTTGTCATGATATACCCAATCTAATACATATATGTGCAATATATGTTAATAGGGTCCACATGCGTACAAAACATCGGTTGACACTCGGCGCTCATAACCAATTGAACACTCGAATCCTACGTTAAACTATGAGTTCATACCCCTACACTTTTCAGAGTTTTTCATGTTTTCAGGGGGGGAATACAAGCTAAACATAAAGGTTTTCATAACTTAAAAACTGATGCAATTACAACGATTTTCTATCAAACGTTTAGATACAATTATCCCTTTTGTATTATGCGGAGCATAAGGGGTGTTTTCAATTTATAATTGCATAGTTTCAAAACCTTATGCGAACGTAACAAACCATTTAAACTATAATAGGTATAGTTTGGGATTTCATTACCAGTCTTATAGATTCAAACTTCATGCAAAGTCAAACATATAAACTATGTCAGATTTAGTTTATCCATTACTACGAATACAAAACTAGAGTATCATGCTAAATAATTATTTTATGTATAATTATTTATACTCTACACCGTTACAAACGATTTCGAACTCGAGAACAACCGAACAAACACATAAACTAGTTAATACAGGATTGTGAGACTATCTTCGTTTTGCCCCTCGGGGTACCAATTAATCCTCGCCTTAAGTATAACCAGAGTCTCCTGGAGGGAGAGCGTGAAATTTGTGAATAGATCTATTCGGGACTGACAATCCCACACCTGAACTGTTAGCTACAGTTAGGCAGGCACGCCTGGGGTGACAAATTTTTGTAAACGTGCGACGCCTGAAGAAACGTCAAGGAGGTCATCAGTCATATTAGTATGGTTATACAACTCACAATAAGTATAAACTAATCATTGTTTACGGGATTTCCTTCTTCAATAGTTTTATTTTAAGTAATAAAACTACTATACATACTGGTGGTAACCAGGGTTTCCGAACGATCATACATTACATACTGGTGGTAGCCAGGGTTTTCGAACAGAACGTACTTTTCATACAGAAACCAACAAACATGTTAGAAAATATTGGATTTTCTTGGTAAGCATGTAAACATATTTCAGAACTCGGTAACAACGGTTTTCGATACAAACGATATTTACTTATAATGGAAAGAAACTATTTATACAAACTCAGTGACTAGTTTTCAATACAAAAACATGCTTATGAACTCACCAGCTTTATGCTGATACGTTTTCAAAACCGCTTGTATTCTCAGGGCAACGATAGACAGGTACCATACCAGCTTTTGGAGAAGACGGAGCATTTTTGGAGTCTCGTCTTTATCTTTTGTTATATAATGTTATGTACAAACTATGTTCTCAAACAATTGTAAATATTCATATTGTAATGTAATGGTTGTGCTTACTTTGATTGCTATGATACGATTTTTGTGATACTACGAATGACGTCGCCGCCCCCGGACGTTTCCGCCGTTGCTTTTCTGACGGTTCGGGGGTGTGGCATCAATGTAACTTATTGCTTACACGTAACAATGTTGCGGGTATCTTACCTTATTTATGAGTATAAATGTGATTGTACACCTAACCCTGATGTTCTTTGCAATACAAGATTCAAATTTGGTGCGTAATCATATTGCTTGCTTTCATCTTTTATTGTTCTCATTTGTCATTTATTTCATTTTTATTTTATATCTGTAGGTGCGTTCATGGATGCCATCAGTAACATGGATTTTGAGTTTGTTGCTTCTGGACATTATGCAAAAGTTATTCACCCCCTTACAGATGAAACCAATGAGCTTTCATTTCTTCAGCTGTCAAAGGATATGGTAAAGATATGCTCTACTTATTTTCATTACCAACTTCCTGATGCCTGTCAGTGAGGGATACATGTTAGAATTTCTAGTGAAGGATCAGACCTACTTTCTATCGTATCTCTCACAAGCTCAGCTTAAAAGACTAGTGCTTCCTCTTAGATGTATTCAAAAAGTAAGTAAGTTTGCTTTATGAAACACAAAACATAATTCATGAATTTACTATTTAAACCAATCAAATTATCAGGAAGAAGTCCGAAGGTTGCCTGAAAATTTGATTTGCCTAACCAAGAAAGAAGGGATTCACAGGGAATATGCTTTCTTGAGAAGGTATGTTTATGTTATGTTTGTTAACAAAAATCTCAACTTTGGAGATGATATATATATATATATATATATATATATTATATATATATATATATATATATATATATATATATATATATAAAGTGGAAATTTATGTAATTATTATACCGAGTTGGTTCAGTAAATTTGTTGGAAGACATATTGGTGAAAAAGAAAGTTTTTATTATTAGATGCTGAAACAGGTGATTTTTTAGGCGTCCACAGGGCTTCTGGTTTTACACAATTGGTCAACGCCAAGGTTTGGGTCTTGCAGGAGGACCATTGTAAACCTTTTATTATTATTATTATTATTATTATTATTATTATTATTATTATGTAAAAATATTTAAAGATTTATTTATTTATAAAAAATACTTGTCATGTTTCCATGCAGGTATGTTGTTCAGAAAGATGTAAAAAAATAATATGGTTTTTGTATCAAGAAATTATTACTCTGTTGATAAAAGAAGGCGATCATTTCGTGTTGGATCCTTTATGGATCAACGGATATCCTCCTCACAACTTAAACCACTTAAGATGCAAGGTAAATGTAAACATTACATGACTTCAATTTTCACTAATAACAGACTTAATATGCATTTACACGTGTTTTTGACAGGTTCGGCATGGTCCGGTTTTCTATGATTGCAGTTTGCATATAGAAGAAAAAGATGTTATTGGCACCGTCCAATTACCTGAAGGTGATCAGGGTCGCAGCTGGCCCATTTGCAGCTTTTTATCAAAAGAGCTTTGTGTGGGGTCAGGGGTAATTTGGAATTATGGGATGATGCTAAAGGGTTTCCTGTTTTTTTCTAACAAGGCTCGCCATATTGCAAAAATAGAAGATAAATCTAAGCTTGGTAAACCCATGCAGATCAAACCAAAACCTCAAGATTGTTTGAGGGATTCGATATGGTTGTGAGATTAGTTTAGTTATTATAAATTGTATGTTAATTAATTACAAAAGGGCAACATTTTTATTAGATGATTGATACATCTTCAAGGCAGTGGTTTTGTTGCATATGGTATAAGCAGTATATGTATTTCTTAATCAGTAACCATATAATGTTTGGTGAAGATGAATAGATAAAAAGGAAAAACATTCCACGTGTAATAGTTTGACTAGATATTTATGTTCAAATATATTTATTTAATATTACAGAAAACTTGAGTATCAATTAATTGCTATAAACTAACAACCTTAATTTGGATTGAGTAAATAATACTTTTCACATAGTTTGATTAAAACAATAATGAAAAAAAATTAAAAAAATTAAACTACATGTATAAAGCAGGAGGTTTCTAATTGGAAGGGAAGAAGCTGTCAGAAAGCCCTTGTTGCTATTCTTTTTTTTTTCTTCCCAACCAATAATCGACTCCCATTTTCGTCTACCATTGTAAGCCTCTGACAAAAACACCATTAATAATGAATAGATGATGTTACTGCTTTTACTAAAATGATTATAATGAAATTAACTTGGACATTTTACTTGCTCGAGGCAAGTTCTTGATGAAGTCTAAAGCATGCGTAATCACAATGTTAGGCACTTCAATCTCTACATTTGTAGCATTTTCTTCTACGAAATTGTTTGAAGTTTACATCCATCTATATGCAGGCATCACAATCAAATAATCTTTGCATAAACTTATTACAGTTGACATTCCACTTCCACTTGTAACAAAATTCATGTCTTTTATGAGTGTGTATGTGTAGTAAGAATGAAACTATACAACTTACTAGCATGTAATGTCACTTTCATATCATTCTTACACCAGACACCTATAATGCTAGGCTCGCAACGGCTCATCCCCATCGTCGACATTCTCAACATTCTGCGCCTCCAACTCATCTCTGTCTCCGGCATTCTCCGCATTCAGTTCTCGAGATACATTTCTTTTCTTTTGGTTTCGAACAGAAAGAAAGCGAGAGCAGCTAAGGAATGAAACTAACCTAGAAGAAAAGATTTTTAACCCTAGCTAATCATACAGACCAGTTATTGAGTATCATTAGTAGTCCCTGCACACCAGGTTCTTGATCAATGGGCCAAAAGTGGTGGCATTAGTTACAACGATTATGCGGAGCTTTGTGCTAAAAGGAGGCTGTCTCTGAGGTCTACCAATCTCTCTCCAAAGTTGGTTTTAACTTATATATCAATGAGGGTTTTTATGTCTTTGTTCATCACATCCTCCCACATTTTTCTTCTGAATTGTGTTTTGTAGGTAGGAAAAGAGGAAAAGTTAGACAAGTTTGAGCTTCCTGCAAAGATAAATTGTTGCCAGATCAAAACACCTGAATTTGCATTAGTGACAGCCACACTCAAGTTAAAGAGGGAACAATTGAAGGCCAAATTTAAGGATGATATGCAAAAGCTATACGAGTGATTGATTTGATGCACGTGAACCTTTTGTTTCATGGCATAGTAGTTAGGAGGATAGATCGTCTGTTTATTGTTTTTTATTTGTTATGCTTAATGGTTCTTTCATACGTGACAATTTGATGTACAATATTCATTATTAAATTTTTATTCACTGTTTTGCCTCAAGGAAACTATTCAACGAAATGAGTTAATTACCGCCCGGAAACTATTTGTCGCTACCGCTTTGCGCGGGTACACCACTAGTGTGTATATATATACACACACACACACACACATAAATTAAGAAAGAAAAGATGAGAGTGCCTGTACGGTTAACTAGGGTTAAAAATCATTTCTTCTAGGTTAATTTCATTCTTTAGCTGCTCTTGTTTTCTTTTTGTTCAAAACCAAAAGAAAAAAATGTATGTCGAGAACAGAATGTTGAGAATGCCAGAGACGGAGATGAGTTGGAGGCGTTTGTAGCACCCGGTTCCTGGTATGAATTTCATTAAAGCATTATTCATTTTTGGCCTAGAACTCGGCGAGTTGATGGCCAACTCGACGAGTAGGAGCGACTTGGACCCGGGAGTTTAATGACCTACTCAACGAGTCGGCAGCCAGACTCGACGAGTAGGCCCTGATTGGACAAAGCTCTAATTTAAGGGATTGCACCCTATTTAAGCATCTCATTCAGCCTCCATTCGTCCCTATTGCTCTCAAGAACTCTCCATATCAAACCCTAATCGTTTGTGTAACGATCTAAGGCCTTTGTGGTGGTTTTTGGTGATTTTGGAACACAAGAAGGAAGAGAAAGGCTTGAGGAATCAAGAGGAGGCCAGAGGAGTTCGAGTTTGCGCACCCTCTGCAGTTCCTTAAAGGTATAAAGCTGATACCTTGCTCTTTCATGTTTTAGATCCCTTTTGGGGTGATTTAGGGCTTTTAGGAGCCATTCTTGGTGACCAATCATGAGTGCAAGCATGGTTAGGGGCTAAGACTTCAGATCCAAGGTCTTTAAGGGGTTACAAGGCAGAAAGGGACTGATTTTGGAGCCTTAGAGAGCCCCATGCATCTTAAGAGTCTCATTTAGGGCCATTTGAGCTCATAGTCCCATGCATGCATGTAAAGTTTGTAACTTTACGTGCTAGATCGATCCTAGAAGCCTAGATCTATCTTTTGGTCAAGTGTTGTACATCAGAAATCGAGAAATAAGACTAGGTTATTCTCGACTCGGCGAGTCGTTCTTGGGACTCGGCGAGTCCATGGCTTGACTTCCCTTTTCTGTTATGGTTCGAAGGAACCCAATAAGTGTTAGAGTGGTCTTAGAGGGGTGCGGGGGAATGACCCAACGTATTGGACTCAGCCATAGACCTGGGAGTCATAGGACTCGGCGAGTGTATGAACAGACTCGACGAGTCCAAGGCAATATCCCAACGTTCGAAGATGAACTCGACGAGTTGTTCATACAACTCGGCGAGTCAAAGGCAGGACTTGTTCATAGGATGGAGATGAACTCGACGAGTTGTTCATACGACTCGACGAGTCGGATGAAGGTTCATTCGGGGTTGTTCTAGAGGGAGAACTCGTCGAGTCGTTGCCAAACTCGACGAGTAGAGGCGTGGAGAAGGACTGATGAAGGGATAGGAACTCGACGAGTTGGCGGCCCAACTCGGCGAGTCGAGTCAACTGGAAGTTGACTTCGACTTTGACTTGGTCAGGGGTAAAATAGTCATTTTACCCTAAGAGTAGTTATCAGTGTCTGATGAAGTGTTTTATGGATTTATAGCCGGAGGATCACCGGAGCAGCAGTCAGACATCTGCCGATCAGCTTTTCAGCAGTCAGCCTTACGAGGTGAGTTACCTTCCAGTAGAAGTGGGTCTAAGGCACCAATGTCGGCCCACCAGTAGGAGTCGTATGTTAGATGATTGTCTTTGTGATATTCATCTAGGTTTGCTACTACCTGATATGTTATGTGCCAGTATGATATGATGTTATATGCTAGTAGCAGTAGGGGAGATAGTCCCCAAGATTTTTGGTCGATAGGGCCGAAGGGGGTAGTCATACCCAGTCATGCTAGATAGAATATGATTATGTGTTACATGTTATGTGGTAGTAGTAGAGGGGTGAAATAGTCCCCAGTATCCGGTCGAGAGGACCGAAGGGGAGGCCAGCACCCAGGTATGCTAGGCAGTATCCGGTCGAGAGGACCGAAGGGGAGGCCAGCACCCAGGTATGCTAGGCAGTATCCGGTCGAGAGGACCGAAGGGGAGGCCAGCACCCAGGTATGCTAGGCAGTATCCGGTCGAGAGGACCGAAGGGGTAGGTCGGGCACCCAGATATGCCTGACAGTATATGTATGTTATGTGATTGTATGGTATGCGGTACGATGGGGGAACTCACTAAGCTTCGGGCTTACAGTTTTCAGTTTTGTTTCATGTACCTCTTCAGCGAAGGGGAAGGAGCCGGCGCGGTAGCTGCACATCATACACACATTGGATTCCGCCTTATGAGATTTCTTGGGATTGTACTCTGACATTGTTACTACTTTTATGATATGATTTTCAGACATGAGATTATGGTTTTATGAAATGATATGACATGGTGATGTTTTTTTATGATAAATGTTTTCTAAATCGGTATATCAAAATTGAAATTTTTGGACTCGGAATTTGGGATGTTACAAGTTGGTATCAGAGCCTTGGTTTGAGGGATTCGGACACACCCTCGGGGGTGTCTGGACTCAAACCGAGGGATTAAAAGATTTTTACAAAGGAAATGGTTTTCTAAAATCTAAGTTAAAAGATTTTTAAGAAAGAACAAGGTGTGTGATGTGCGCGATCGGCCGAGCTCAAGTAAGTTTTCCCCAAAGTACCCATACAAGTTTATGTTATGATTATCAGTTCAGTAGAACAGCATGCTAGATTAGGACTAAGGATCTAGGAAGGATGCCTTATGTGCCTGTTATATGTGCTCTTGGGCTACATGATAGTGTTGATTAGACAAAGATAGGATAGCCTGTTTAGGTTATGCCTGGTTATATAAGCTTATATCGCATGCTAGTACAAATTCTTGTTATGTGGATAGAATTGCTCGAGCTTTTTTCCTTTTTGTCTGAATGCTAATTGCTTTGTGCTTTGCGGGACTCGGAGTATTGGGAGTTAGATATTAGGTCCGTACGTTAGGTCACATGCAATCAGGGTTGAATAATCTCAGAGTGTTGGATTTGACCCTATTGCGTAGCTCTTGTCTGAGTCCTAACCGTTGTAGGGATGAGTCCCTTACTCGAAGGATTATCTGAACCTCGTGGCATGTGATTGTATCCATATGGTGGCTAATTGGTGTTGCAAAGAGGCCTTCAGCAGCTGAGGACTGGTTTGGGTGGAGTTAGAGGTACCCTAGGGAAAGCCTAGGATGAGAGTAGTAGAGATCAGTAGCAATAGAAGGGACTTGGTGGAGTCGAGGCAGTTCTTGAGGAAAGTACGGATAAATCTGGAAGGTAGTATGGGCCCGTACTACAGAAAGCAGAGGATCCGTACTTGAGTCGAGGAAGGCTGAGACGAAAGTAGGAAACTTGTGATAGATGTGATCCCTCTAGATGTATCAGTATCACTGACGGTTGTCATTATGTGTTGCAGAATGGTGGTACTACGTCCGAGGCCAGCAGTTGGCAGTTCAGGAGAGGGATCGGGTTCGGGTTTAGGTTCCGAACCAGTGGATGAGAGGCTACGCAAGTTCATCGTGTCCGAGATCACTAGAGGCATCGTTGATGCGACCCCGGTCATCTTTGGGTCGATCAAGGAAGGGATCATCAAGATGATGGAAGATCACCTTAGGGCGTTAAGGAATGACATGGCGACCAGCCAGTCAGGATCACGCACACTGTCCTTTAACGACTTTAGGGGCAGTGGTGCGCCGGATTTCCATGGGGCGAAGGACCCCATTGCTGCCAGACGATGGATTGCAGACATTGAGTCTGCATAGTTGACTAGCTTCTGCCCCGAGGGGTCGAAGGTGCGATATGCAGCAGGATGCTTGAGGGACCGGGCCAGGGATTGGTGGGAGTCGGTTGGTGACTCTCTGGGAGCCTCGGCTATTGAGGCTATGTCATGGCCGAATTTTGTGACCCGGTTCAGAACTGAGTTCGTGCCTGCGGTGGAGCTCTAGCAGTTGGCCCGGGAGTTCCTGGATATGAGACAGACGACTGAGACAGTGGCGGAGATCACTGCCAAGTTCCGGGAGAGGGGGTTACTGGTGCCCCAGTATACGGGAGACGAGGATATGAGGAGGACCCGCTACCATGACATGCTGCGAGACGACATTCGGGAGCATGTCAGTTTTTCAGATTGCCCTACCCTGGATTCCAAGATTGCCAGGGCAAGGGAGAGGGAGATTGACCTGGAGCACGTTCGCAAGAGGAAGGCCGAGTAGGGACAGGTGACTGGGGCTTCGGGGAAAAAGCCCAAGTGATCAGACGCTGGGCCAAAAGGCCAGTAGGACCGAGGCCACTGCAGGAAATGCGGCAAGTCACATGAGGGAGCGTGCAGGTTGGGATCGTCGAGCTGCTATAAGTGCGCAATGGGGCATTTCAGCAAGGATTGTACGCCCCATCACCCAATTCAGACATCCGAGTTGCTGTGTTTCCACTGCAACCAGGGGGCCATAAGAGGGCCAATTGCCCCCAGTTGACAGCAGCAGCGCCAGTGAAGGCACCAGCTCCAGCGACCCTGCGGATTACAGATGGCCGGCAGGCAAGTCAGAGGCTCCAAGTGGTGAGGAGTCGGGCCTTTCGTTGACTACCGAGGAGGCACGCGCCCGCCCACCCGATGTAGTGATAGGTATGATTCTTCTCCCTGGTTTCTTTCATATGATGCTTTGATATTATATATGCTCTCTCTATATATGTTTAGGATCGTTCCTTCATGTGAACGGTATCCCGTTCAGGTGTTGTTCGATTCGGGCGCTACCCGATTGTTTGTTTCTCTTGCGCTTAGCAAGAAGTTTCCTGAGTCCTCGGGCAAGTTGGATTG